TTTACTTATTAGAATGTTAATTTTGTTTATTTTTATAATTTGGCAATATAAAACATTGTTTCATTTGAAGTGAATTTTAATTACCAAAGCAGTGATGAAATTAAAAATTAAACAAAAAAACATTGGAACTTCTTAAATAAATATTTATTTCATAAATTCAAAAAAAGGTATTTGTTCCTGATTTTGAAAACTTTTTAAGCTCTGAAAATCTCATCAACAATTATTAATTGATGATTAAACTGATTTCAAAGACTATAGATATATTATAAAGTCGTTGATTAATATTTATTATTATTTTATTGAAGTATTATTTTGTTTAATAATTTTTTTAGTCCATGGAAATTCCCATAAACCTAAAAAAACACAAAAGTAAGATTTTCTTTGACTAATCCTTAAATATTTTTCTATTTCAACAAACTTTCTAAAACCGTAAAATCTCGTGAAAAAGAATTTTTATCGTTGAATTGAACTAAATGCTTTGCTTCTGTAACACAGATTGACTAATCGAATTGGTTGAATCGCTGCCACTTTTCCTCCATTTTCCCCACCTCCCGCTTTCATTCATCAAACATTTACAAACATGGACCATTCAATTAAAATTTGTTGACCATATTAACTAAAACGTCAATCGTCAGTACGAAAAAAACCCGTTTTCCCGTAGCAACTAAGGGGGAGTGGGAGGGGTACACTTTTTCCTCGCTCAGTTTTCGCTGCTGCTACCTTATCTCTTGGGAAAAACTGAACGAAGCCAAAAGAGAGAGAGAGAGAGCGCGCGGCTTTTAAGAGAGCTTAGCACGTGGTTTCCGCTGGAAAATAAATAAAAACTGTGCCGCGCCAAAGAGAGCTAAGTTAGGAGAGAGAGAGACAGAGGAGGGGAAAAGCGGGCATCGTGAGAGAGAGCAAACGCGAGAGAATTTTTCTATTTTCCCCAAGTGTGTGTGTGTTTTCTTTCTGTTGCTTTTGCCGTACGATTCGTAAACAAATTCTGCGATTGGCTGATGGAAAATGCTGGGGGAAATCCCTTTTGCTCTCACTTGCATATGTATTGGTATATGTAGAGGTATAACTGTAGTTGTGTGTGGCTGTGTGTGTAGTTTTTTGCGCCACGTTTTCCTCTTATTAACGCGTTTTTGTGATTGGGTTTGGGTGCTGCAGTGCCGCTTTTTCCCTCAGTATGTGTGTATGTGTGTGTGTTTGCTTGTGGAAAATTGCCTATGCGCCAGCCCCAAACTATGCGAAATGAGTGTAATGAGAAGAATGAGAGGGAAAGAGAGTGAGAGAGAGAGAGAGAACGAGAGCAAGCCTCGGTCTCCTCTATGCATCCATCCCACTTGCACATTACACATACGCCGCGTTATCTATGTATGAAATATCTTTTTCCTTTTTTTGCCTTAGTTTTTCCCCATTTTGTTGGCTTTTCTAACTGCGTTGCCGTTGGCCAAAGTTGAGGCTGGAAAATGCAAAAAACTAAACAAAACCAAAAAATCAAGTGAAGAGAGACAAATGCCTGCCGCTGCTCTGTTAATGTTTTTTGCGTGTTTATGTTAATCGGCGACGCTGGCAGCTTAGAAAAAAAGCAACCCAACCCCCCTCATAGGCCACCCATCTAGTCCTATATACCTTAGTCTCTCTCTATATAAACATATATACTAGATCTGTAGGTGCGTTGTTTACTTTTCCTTTTTCTTTTCGCATTTACTGGGCACAGCATTTTTTTTAGTGCCTTGCGCTTTTCCTCCATTTTCTACAGCGACGCCGACTGCAGGACACAAAAAACAAAAAATGTGTGTGTGTGTAGTTGCCAGGGCCGCTTTTTTAATTGCAATTTTTCATTAATTAAAATTTGCTTAGTTTGCATTTGAAAAGAGTTGTCGGGGGTAGGGGAGCTGGAAAAACGGAAATTTGTATGGATTTATTGTGATTGAAGGTGCAGCAAATTGAATGTGTTTCCCAGTTTTCCCTCCATGTGTGGGTCTATGTTTTTCAGTGAAATCAACGGGGACGGGGGGAACAGAGCTAGAGAGATATAGCCTTTGATGGATGCACCGATTCTGTCGGATTATAGACCAGGAAACAGCAATTACTGTTCAACGATTGCAAGGCTTAAACTAGTCAAAAACTCGATGGCATTTTGGGTAATCAATTGCAGGCGGGAATATGTTGGAAATCAAAACAAATTTATAAAAAGAACAACATTTATTAACAAAAAATTTGCGAAAATATTTAGTGAACCAAAATCCCTATCTTTAAATAATTTATATATTTGTGGGTTTAATTTCTTTGATAAAGAAGATATTGAATGGGGTTTTATAATTCTTTCTTTAAATAAACATATATATATTAATCTATGAATGTGTACAAAAAACTAAAATTATTTTGCTTTATTTTAGTAAATATATGTAGATATAGATGATCAGCGTCAAGACGAGCCGATCTGGTCATCCCCGGTAGGAAAATGAATTTTCTATTTTTTCTTTCAATATTTTATGAGAAGTTAAATCGTAAAAATTAAGAAATTTTCCAAAAATTATACAAGAAATGGTATATGAGTGCTTTCCGAATTCAAATCAATAAGGGTTATTTTATGTGTTCTTTGTAATAACTGGTAATATAAATTTTAAAAAGAAGAGACTGCAAGTGTATATAAACTTTGGCTCCCAGAAGTTAGTTTCCTCTCTTGTTTGAATTTATATTAATACAATTATTGAGCTATTTAGTAAATTGTCTTTATAAGTCAAGTAAAAGTAGCTAAAATAGTTTTAAAACAACATACAAATATTAAAATAATTATTTGCGTGACTATATTTGTGCCTGTATGATACTATATTTACCATTCCATAAACTATGATTTTTTAAAGCATTCTGAAATTTAAAATCATTAAATTATCTTTGATATAGTTTAAGACAATTGTATAACTTTACAATGAAAAATAGTAATTCCGAGTGGATGAACTTACGAACTGGACCTCTCTATCCATCTCCTCTCCAGTTTCCCTTATACCATTTTCCCTGGTGCAGGTTTTCTATCCTTTAACCCTTTTTCCATTCAATCTGTCCACTAATTTGCTTGTATGTGTGTTAGGTTTTTTGTGCCTCCTTTTTTAGGCCTAGTTCCTGTTACCGGCCAACGGCAATTAATGATATGGCCACAGAGTCACAGCCACATCAAATGACATGTCCTGGGAAAATGCACTTCAACTAGCGGAAAGAGAGACATAGACACATACTATATACATATACACACATATACATATAGGGAGCTGCAAGGGGCTAGTACCAAAACCCCCCTCCTCCAATGGATCCGCACTCGTCAGCCAACCAATGCAGGAAAACGCATTTTCCCCAACGAAAAGTCAAAAAGTGCGTAGCGCAAAACCCACCCACCAATACACAGACAGCGAGCCGTGGAAGAGGGAATGCGATTGGTGGAAAGCCAAAAGGACCTGCAAAAAAGGCTCTAACACATAAACTGGCTAAGGGCGGAAGTAGGGGCTGGTGACCACAACAATACAAAAGTCAAATTAGTGGAAAATGCAAATGCATGGCAAAAAAAGAAACATATACACAGAACAGGGAAAACCAAAAAAAAGTACGATTAAAAACGTGCGCAAAAAATGTGTGACACTAGAAAATATAGACATTGGATCGGTATGTATATGGGCGGTGGAAATTAGTGCATGTGTGTGTATATATAGTGTTGCAGCGGGAAAAAAGGAGCATTTTCCTTGCCATATTATAATTACACAGCTCGGGGCATCCAGTGACAAAACTGCTGCATGCTTTTAGGCGCTGTTTTTTATGTGCACTGCGTGAGTATGTGTATATATGAAAGTTGATACAATATTTTAGCATAAAGTCAATTTTTGATAGACAGATTGCTTGATTTTCATCGACATTTAGCCGCACCTTGTCAGCCATTAAGGCGGGGTTTTAGTCTTTTTTTTACCGATTTCCCTAATTGATTTTTTAGTCACTTTTTTTAAGGGGGCTTCGAGGAGTTGTGGTTCTCTATGCAAATTAAATTTTTTCACTGGCGGCTGTCTATTGTATTTTTAGCCATTTAAGTTTTTTCATAACCGAAAATTGCAGGCAAAAAATTTAAAGGGAAATAAACTCGTTGTAATGTATATATGTATAATGTTTTCGTTTATTTTATAATTATAATTATGGGTTATGTAACAGAATATAGTCAAAAATATAAAGGAAATAACTGTAAATGCTATAAAATTAATACAACAAATAATTAAAACATTAAAAACATATTTTTAAATGAATCATAAAGACTACGATCACTTTACCTTGACAACAAAGGCTTACTTTTCCCGCTTTATAATTCCTTTTAATTCTATAATTTCGCTTGAAATTATTTTTCCTGCAAAAAAAGTAGGCCGATGTTAATTGATAAGAATTATTCCTGTTCTCTGGCCTTATCTTATCTAATGCAAAAAAATGAGAGCACCGGGAAGAAGTAAATTCACTTTTTAATCTGTTTAAACAGATCTTCGTACGTTGACGCCTACATTATTTATTTCCGCAGTTATTTGTCTTTTAATTAGAACTCATTATTCTACAAAATGTTTATTTACTTTCAACTTATCGTCGTCAGCTGCACAGCTGGTGGATAAACCTCTGCGATGTGGGCGGAAAAAACAGAATATAACTCCACAATAATGGCTCACGGAATGCATTTGGAGTTATCAGTAGAGGGCCAAGCCAGCATTAGCCAAGTTCAAAGTCGATATCGTGTGCATTTGACAAGGTCATCCTCGATTTGTATTTATTTATTTGCACAACTGCAGACTAAGTAGAGAGGGTGAGGGTGAGGTGAAATCATGTACCAACGGGGCGTATACGTAATGGCAAGTTCCAACTGTTTTATCATAAGCTGGAGCGCGGCCTTTTAATTTGTTTTTCTTTTTATTTTTTTTAATTAGCTTTAGCTTTAGTTGTCTTTGGCTGATATTAGGTGTGGGTGGTATTATCGTGTTAGCCCAGTTGAGTGCTGGCTTCGCAGGCGTTAAGGTCTGGCCGAAAAATTAAAATGTTTAACCGGTGTCTAATCTTAGTGCTCCTGCTGGTGGCACCTGCCACTCTGGCGGCCTACTTCGATGGTTGTGATAACAGCTACACTTTGCAACCGGGAACCACTTACGTGGAGTCACCTTACTATCCGAGGAATTATCCTGGCGGCACCTCCTGCCGTTACAAGTTCACCGCTCCCCAGGACTACTATATTCAAGTGCAATGCACCATCGGCCTGCCTTCGGTATAATTTATATTTCAAATTAATGGAAGTATGTTATAAGGTGTAAGGTTTTATTTCTTTCAGAATAATGGTGCCTGCACTACGGATAATTTCTGGCTGGACTCGGAGGGAGATCTTCTGATGCGTGGCGCTGAGAATTTCTGCGGTTCGGGGTCCTTTTCGCGGGAGTCCTTGTTCCGGGAAGTGGTTTTCGCTTACATATCTACGGGCCCGCAGGGGGGTAACTTCAGGTGCGTCTTGACCACCACCAAACAGAGCTGCAATTGTGGATGGTCGGCCACTCAGAGGATAGCCAATGGTGAGAATGCTGGACAAAACGAATTTCCCAGCATGGTGGCTCTAAAGGATGTGACCAAGATATACGAGAAGTCCTTTTGTGGGGGAACCATAGGTGAGTTAAGGACCCTTAAGGGGTATTTTTTAATATTTGCTTAATTTAAACTTTACAAATATTTTGATCAATATTCTACGCTTTATTTTATAGTGGCTCATCGTTATATAGTAACAGCTGCTCATTGCGTTTATCAAATCTCACAACCCACAAATATTGTTGCCATTGTGGGCACAAACAATTTGGACAGTCGTAAGTTTCATTAAGATTTTTATAACTACTTAAACACTTAAAACAGCAGCTCTACATTATCTTATTTTTATATGATTACTAACCCCCTTTGATATATATTTTTCTAGCTTCCAGTTCCAGGTACTATCAGCAGTATAATATCCAACAGGTGATAATCCATGAGCAGTATAATCCGGATGTTAACAACGATATTGCCATTTTGGTAACAGCCTCCGATATAATGTGGTCCCGTGGTGTAGGTCCTGCCTGCCTGCCGCCAGTGGGAACGTGAGTTAATATCCTTTAACTAATAAAAAAATGTATCTATAATATTTTATATAATTCCATTTAGAACGCAAACCTTTTCCTATGACACCGTGGACGTGATTGGCTTTGGTACCACATTCTTCTCAGGACCCCTGTCCAATGGCCTTCAGAAGATCAATCTGATGGTGGTGAACAATCAGGACTGCCAGACCGAATATTATGATGTGAATATATATCCTAGTCAGATGTGCACCTATGATTATTCGGGCCATAGTCGAGACTCCTGTCAGTATGATTCCGGTGGCCCAGTTATCCTGCGCAAGGCCAGGCAGTTCCTGTTGGGAATCGTTAGTTTTGGCAAGAGTTGTGCGGCATCGGCATATCCCATGGGTGTTAATACCAGGGTTACTTCTTATGTTAGTTGGATTCGTCAAAAGATCGGTAACTCCAATTGTGTGGTTAGCTTGTAAATGGAAATAAATTGGATTTGATTTGGATTTGATTGGAATATGTAAAAATCATTGTTTTTATAAGGGAGAACGGGTTTTAAATTGTTCTTGAAAGGGATATGTTTATGCAAGTATGTACCTTACTTAAATAAAAAGAAGAAAACCCACCTCACCTTGACTTTAAAACCTACTTCTATATTCTATATTTAATATTTGTTAAATTCAAATATATAAAGTATATACCAGTTCCATCTTATCTTTTGAGTGAATTCTTATATAAACTGCAGACAAGCTTCACGAATTTTCATATCTAGATATTGCTGCTATCATGAGCGGTCTGATTTTTCTGAACTTTCTTGTGATTTCATCTCTTAGTTTAGTTCTTGGCCAGCAACAGTGTACTAGGCACTATGATTTACAGCCTAATCGAGTGATTAATATAAGTAGTGCTAATTATCCTTTGGCTTTGCCAAGTGGCAGTAACTGTCGGTTTCGGTTGAAGGCACCCAGGAATCATGTAATCCATTTAAATTGTCGCTTTGAAGTGGTAAGTAATGGAAATTAAAATAAATTCTGAAGATTTTTGAATCTTTTCTTATAATCTAATTTCCCATCTTAGTTCCCTGATACCTGTGGCTCCGAATTCCTGTTCATCTCACGGGATGGCGACCTGCAATTCCGCGATGGCGAACGATACTGCCGAATGGGTCAGATTACCAGGATCTCCAACTATCAGACCATGGCCTTTGCCTATTATTCAAGCAGTTCAAGCACTCAGCAAAGATCCAGGCTCAACTGTCAGGCTGTGGCACGTCCTGCGCCCTGTGACTGTGGTTGGTCCTTGCCGGATCGCATTGCCAATGGTGTGGAGGCTGCCAAACATGAGTTTCCCTCAATGGTGGGTCTGAGGGATTTGACCTCAAATTTACCCATTTTTTGTGGAGGCAGCATTGTGAGTGATCGATTTATAGTAACTGCTGCCCATTGTACCGCCCGGCAACCGGTGGCCAGTCGCCTTTTGGCGCTCGTCGGAGAGCATGATCTAAGCAGGGGTAAGGGTTTAATTTTTAGGGATTTTTTTCATTAAGAAATAAGAGTTTTTTTTCTCTCTTGATAGCCACCGAATCCATTTATACCGCCCAGCATCGCATTCAGAGTATTTTTAATCATCCTGGTTATAGGGAAACTGCAAACGGAGTTAATATCAATGACATAGCCTTGCTGTACACAGTGACTCCCATCGAGTGGTCCCGGGGAGTGGCACCTATTTGTCTGCCAGTGCGACAAGCGTAAGTCTAGGAAATAACTTTAAATATCTTACTTGAGTTTAAAGATTTTCCAAATATTTCTCCTTAGAGATAGCAACTTTAACTATCAAAACGTGGATATTATGGGCTGGGGCACTTTGGGCTTTGCCGCCTCCAAGTCGAATACTCTGCAAAAGGCCACTTTGTTGACCATGGATAATGCCGTCTGCAGGACCCAGTTCAACTCCAGCATCTCTCCCAATCATCTGTGCACCTATGATTCCCGGGGAAGGGGGCAGGACTCATGTCAGTATGATTCCGGTGGTCCGGTGATCTTAAGGCAACGCGAACGTATGTTCCAGTTGGGAGTGATCAGCTTTGGAAGGATCTGCGGTCAACCCTTTGGAATTGGGGTCAACACAAGGATCACATCGCATCTGAACTGGATGTGGCGATATGTGGGCGGAGGAGTATGTGTGAGATAGAGCGGAGTTCTGATTGATGTCTATATACTAAATACAAAACACTGAGGGGAAAATGTTACCCCAACAAGGTTTGTCTAAAGAACTTTTATTAAATAGGTATAATTGTTATGAAAAATTGAATAAATATATAACTAAACCAGTAAGAACCAAGTTTGCTATATTAATTATAGTTCTTAATATAACTTCATGATATATATATTATATTTTCCTATTGTAAACATCTCTATAAGATGCTTGTAAACCAAATTTATTTAATCCAACTTTATATCTAAGCCAATTATTGCTATTTTTAGTATAGTCTAAACGAATTACAATACCTTTTCCTGATTTCAACATATATTTCTTTGCCTGCATCCTTAGGTATGTCTATAACATAACTATCCTTAGACCAAGCTCCTTGCAGTTGCCGCTGGCATTTGTCATCGTTGTCTTGAGTTTGGCAAAGTGTTGACAAAGGCCTTAATTTGCATTTAAATTAAAAAGCAGTGACATGCTTCTGCCTACATTTAAACAACGCAGCAACAACTCAGCTTTACCCTCCGCACTAACCCAATCATACCCCGCTGGCCATCAACGACCGCCAGGCATAGTTCTTTGTACGCAATAAAGTTTTCTCAAGTACTCTATATGGAAATGGGTTATATAATTATATAGAGATACTGGGAAATGTAAAAAAATATGTAAAATTAATACAATTTTTTTTTTTAAGTTTAAACAGAAAATGTTGAAATAAGTTTAAATAATTTATGTATAAGATATGTATATGAGAGAGAAGAAATACGAAACAGTCTCAAAGTGCCGCCAATAAATAATCTTATTCGGAAATGAGTGAAAATAATATCATTTTCTAGCTTCCTTGCTAATACATTGTAGGCAAAGCCTGAAGAAACCTTTAGAAAAGAGTCATATATAAATATATATGCCGAAAATGACTAAAAACTATTTCCGAAAAGCAGACAGTTGCATGAAAACCCTTTTAAGTGATCTTTTAATAAATACCTCTTATTTACTTACTTTTAAGTTAAATACTATAATTCAAATTCAAACACCTCTGCTTAAAATAACAATAATACAATAAAGGGTTAAAGATATTTTCTTTTTACCAAATTCCATATGAAACGGCATTCAAAATGCGGCTTTAATTCAACATAAAATTCCCTTTCTTAGTTCAGCATTTATTGTAAAATTGTTGTAATTGTGCACTAACTCAATTTCATGTCTCGCAGTTGTTGTTCTTTGCATTTTGGAAATTGCGTTAAACTGGGCTCAGGAAGGACCTCCTTCCCCTGCCCCCCAACAAGTTGATGTAAAATTAATAAATGTTCATGTGACGATGGCAAATTGTGTTTTTGCTTTATGATTTTTCAAGCTGGTGGCTTTGTTGTTTAATTTGCCCGAAAGTCTCTGGTCTCAATCAAATTGAATTCCTTGTGGCTGTAAATAAATTATGTTATTTGTTAAGGTGTGTGTATTTTTTTGTTGCACTGCTATCTAAGAAATAAAAATTTAATTTCAGAATTAAGCAAGCCGGGCCTTAACTGTCATTTGCCTTGTGATGACTTGAACGAACCACTTCGAGCTTTGCCACTTTCAAAATTGTTGTATTGTAAACCAGATCTCCCCGAGCGCGAAGTATTTGGAAACATTTTAAATTCTAGTTTTTTGTGGATCCACTTTGCGTTTTGCAATTATTTTGGCCAAAATTTAAATCTGATAAATTTGTAATCGCGTAAATAAAACATATTTTCGGCGATCAAAAGTAACACGAAATCAAGATGCCAATGCTACTGAGAAATCTGCCAATGATGCGGCAAATGCGTATGCTGGCCACCAAGTCACGCCTGGAGAAGAATAATGCCATACCGAAGGCGAAATCCTGGAAACAGGATTGGCCAGTCCGTGAGGAGAATTTCGCTGCTGTCCAGATTCACCAACAAAAGCAACCCGTTCGCTCAATGAGCCACCGACCTATCTCGATGGTGGATATGGGTGCATTCCGTCCCGTGACCCTGCCAGACCAGGCCTATGCTCCAGGTCTGACCAATCGCAATAACATGGCAGCCGCCCAGAATGCCTCCAAGGGAAGAACCATAAGGGCACAAGAGCAGATGGAGCGCCGAATGGATTACCAAGGTCGCAGGCAGGACACGATGAATGCGGATGAGGCGGAATTTGATCCTCAGCAGCAAGATTACGGAATGGAGCGCAGGCCAGATATGAGACTGGGAGAGGATCAGGACTTTGACTCTGATCTGGAGGTGCGCTCTGTGAGGGAGGCAGTATTTGGAACCCAGGACGATAGCGATGAGGATGAGAAGCTGCGTGCCCAGGCCGATGCGGAGCTACTGCGTCGTGTTACGGCCCAGAAAGTTGATGAGCCGCCAACACAAACCATTTCCCGGAAGGTCATTCAGCCGTACATGTCGTACCGGAACCATCGCACCCGCTGGGCTGAGTTTCGTCACAGCATGATCTACGGTCGCAGCTCCTTCTAGTTAAGGTTGAATCAAAAAATTTCAAAATTCCAATCCCAAAACTATTGCCATGGGACATCTGGAAGACAGAAGAGAAAAACTAAGCAAACAAAAATATTTCAAATTACTTCTCATTTTAATTTAGTGTATTTACTAATTTGCTAAATCCATCCTATATAAAAATTTAAAAAAATATATACAAATCAAATATATACAAATCAAAACCAAGTGGAAATTTTCTTGTTTTCTTGTAACCGAAGCGAAATAACACTTTTTATCATATCTCTAATCGAGTAAAATATATGTAATATAATGTAATATTACTTATAATTGCTATAAAGGTATGATATGCTGATTTATGCGACATTTATTCATATAAAAGTTATTAAATTTACTGAAAATATTTATATATTATTAAAATATTAATACATAGGATGCTAAACTCAATATATTAATCGCTATATTGTAGCACTGCAAAATATGTGCGATAAACCAATATTAATATTCTCCTTAATATATCAAACCCACATAAACGAAAAAAGAGGAAAATATGTATTAAAAATTTTTAGAGGGGTATTTTTTTAATAACATCTTTATTTTTTATACCTGTCTTACCACATTTTTTAGTACTTAAAATTTTATGTAATCAAAGATTGAGATATTATTGATATAAGTCTTAATTTATATATCACACTCTGCATTTTTCTTTCGTTAAATGTTTTTGCATCTATCATATTAATGATTATATGATATATACATTTATTTAATATAAATGTTTGATATTTCCATAAAAAAATATATAAATTGTAATTATAAAGATATTTTCTTAATTTAAAAACAAAAAAATTACTTAAACACAGTCACCTTTTTCGTCATTATCAAAAACCATACCATTTTTTTAGAACCTACAAAAATACTAAAATTCTCCATATTATATTATTTTTTTTAACATCCAACCATGAACCGCATGCTGAACGGCCTTTTGGGCAAAGGACTAACTTTGACCCGCGGAATCGCTTCTCGAGCAAAGGTCAGCCAGCAGGGCTTTGTCCATCCGGAAAAGCGACGCACCTTTCCCATCGTCTACTTCAACTGGAAAGAGGTGCCCCAGACATTAGCCCAGAAGGTGAGGCAGGAGACAGAGATCAATCCCCAAATTGTGGCAACCTCCGGTGGCAGGGCACGCAGGCGAAAGTGTGGCTTGCGGCATTTTTTCCAGGATAAGAGCAGTATCCTTTTCAGCGATGTGCATCGATGGTCGGAGTTTCGTCGAAAATTAATCTATGGCGTTTACTAGCAACTTTCAAGGAAAGTTTTTAAATTCATTCAGCATTAGAAGTGTCCTGCAGTGTAAACTATCCTTTGGTTAGGATTGGATTTCTCTTATCAAAGTATTTTATGCGGAAGTTCAATCCTAGCTAAAGGATATTTTACCCTGCAAAACATTTTGATAGAACTAAGTCTGCGAAATAAAATCATAAATCATGTAGTTCTTTAAATACATTTCCTGTTTTATTTCAAACCAACCTTAGTTAGAAGCCACCTTCCTTCATCCCTCATCCTTTGCTTCCTTTTCCCATCTCAAAGCCCAGTTTATTATTATAAGCCAAGTATTCTTAACCCTTTTTGCTACTTAACACGCAAGTTTGCTCTCCAGAAACTAGCGACGACATACTTTAGCATATCCTTTCGCATATCCTTCTGATCTGACTCGGGACAGGATGAAAAAGTGGCAAAAGCAAAAGAATGGAGAGAGCAACCCAAGTGCACTCAAGTAATATGCTTCATAATTTTTATTGTCAAGCCCTTTTCTTTTGGCTCGGGTGGCACTGGCGTGCACTCGACAACAAAAGCTCAAAAGCGCTTGGAAAATGCAAAAATACAAAACAACAAAAAAATATATATAAAACAAAAAAAATACATAAAAAGCAAAGGCGGAAAATGAAGTGGACGGGACGACGGCATGGAGAGTGCAACAAAGCAGAGCGGGCAGCATAAATTTTATAATATAGAAAAAATCAATGGACAATGGGTGCAGGGGGGAAAAAAATTCAGAGCAGCAAGGATTACAAGCCAGGACTAGACTGCCGAGAGGGTCCTGCCACTTCTCATGCAAAGCACTGTCCTACTAGTCTGCACGGAGAGAAAAAGGAACTCATTTTGGTCTTAGAAAAAAACTGAACAAAATAACGTTTTACTTTCTGATCAAATTTAAGAAGCTTACATGAAATTTATTTTTAAATTCTTTATCAAGTTTATTAACAGGGAAAACTATTACAGGTATTTGTATTTTTTTGATTTATTTCTAGTTAATTATTAAGATAATTTAGTTATATACCCTTGTAGTATATTAAACCCTATTAATCAGCAACAAAAGCCGAGTCGATCTAAACATCTCCGGCAGAAAAAAAAAGGTTGTACCAATTTTTTCTAAATTTTATAAGGGGTTACATAGTTAAAATTTTCGAAAATTGTTAAAATTAATTAATTTAATTTAATGTGTGTACTTTTTAAATTAAGTAAACAGATTTATTAACCTAAAAAAACTAAAATAGCAGAGCCTTTCGAATTAAAATTAGTGCATTTTTGACTTACTTATGGATTTCTTAATTGTACAAAATTTACTTTCATTTTTGCTTTAGTATTATTTCTATTCTTAAATTATCTTTTATTTTTTAATATTCCTATTATAAAAATAACAGACGTATTTTCCCTCTCTGTACCCCTTCTACGAAATCCAGTTCCAAGCTTCAAAGTTGCACAATTAACTTGCCCCGCCAAATGCTGTGATTTCGCCACTCTCCTTCACTTTCCAGTCTCTTATTGTTGCCAGTTAATTTTGATGTATTTTTTATTGCCTTGTTGCATATTTGCATTTTATTTATTTTTTTGCTTTTCCATCCACTGCACTTGGCGGCGTAATTAGGCGCAGGACTCGAATCCTTCAGGCTTTGATGTGCGCCGCCGCGCTAAGCGAATTGGGCTAAGTAAGGACAAGTGCCAAAAAGGCATTTTAATTGTTTAATTATGTTTTGTGTTTTTGTGCTTTAGTCTCAAGAGCGTGCCACCATGACAATTTATGGAGGGTGGAGGGGTTTGAAAATATTTAAAATATATTTAAAGGAGTTGAAATATACACAAGGTATTATTTATTTATTTTTATATTTATTTAAATAAATCTTCTGCCCAAGTAGGTCAAGAGTTTTGCATGGAAAAAATCTCTAGAACTGTCAGTAGAGTGTCGTTTATTCATTAATATATTTCGTTTCGGCCTTACATTAAAGCCTGAAAACATACATACCAAATTCGGAAGAAACTGGTCCAGCAAAAGTGTTACCGAAGTCTAGGAATACCTATTGATCCTTTTGATACTATCGGGCACCGTAATGTTACTCACCAGACAGATCTTGTCGCAGTCCCTCCAGTTGGGGATCCTTGCCCAGCGATCCTTTCAACTGGTTGGCAAATGTGCCTACTCAGGGAGTCACAGACAAGACCAAAGTGGAGAGAAGGTGTTCCGGAAGGCGAGAGAGTCCTGGGAACGCTATTCAAAGGACCGTCAAGTACCGAATTGTTATGTGCAAAGATACAGAAAGTTGCCAGTTCAAACCATCCGTGTCCATAATTCCTATAAACGCTGGGCTGACTTTTGCATGCGAATGGTATACAAAACGAATAATTTTTAGGATGGATTCCTAATTAATACGGGTGTGTGATGTGTGCACTTAAATCTGAATCTGAGGAGACAAGTCTTGCTAGAACAGAAATGTAATAAATTAGATATATATATTTTTTTGATATTAAAGATGATTTTACCCTGAGTATTTGCTATGTTTTCTACATTTTCTACAAAAGAAAAGATCTTGTGATGTTGTTATAACATGTATATCAGTTTGAGATCATCAGAAAAATTTAATCATGGGGATTTAATTGGAACTCTTTAATATCTTGAATCTGCTTGTAATATCTTGTATCTTTTACATTTATTTCTTTGTAAGCCCATCAGGTGAAAGGTAGGATTTTTGAGAGGATTTAAAAAGGATTTGAAATATATTTGGATAGTGTTTTGACAGGGATTAGAATCCATTAAATCCTTGTTATATTTGGTATCCTTTTTAGTATGGATTTCTAAGACCATAATTTAAGAGAAACACATTAAGAACTACAAATTAAATTTGACCGATCAGGAAGAATCAAACATTTGGAAATGTTTTTAAGCCACAGTAAGAAAATACAATATTATTCCTACATTTTTGTTGTAAATAAATAAATATAATTTCAGGAGTCGGAAACTGCAAACGGAACCGGAAGTTCTTCTTCCTTTGTCACCTCGTCTTCATTGCTATCGACTTTGACATAACGTTCGTCCGTCAATGGAATGATATCGATGAAGATATTACGATGTGGCTGGAAACTGAGCTCATCCGTAACTCGCATTATATTCTGCCCATAATCGTTGTTCATATGCCGCAAATTTAAAAAACTCTTGACCAACAGCAACGGTGGTCTCTTCTGATCAGTTACAATGGAACTTCGAGTCGGAATCTCCACGGGCACTGGCCTCCAATGGTAGTGCAATTTCTGATCAGAAGACATCCAACGCTGCTGCAATTGTGGCGACATGAGCAAGGACCGAAGTAGGAACATTTTGCGAAAGATGGTTCAGTAAATGATGTTTTGGAAATACACTTAAATTTAGATCAAACGAAATTTAACAGACATTAGTTCAGATGTATTAATTTCAGCAAAGTCCAAGTGTTGATACTAAAAACAAGGCCCTCGAGATACATATATGTATACATATATGTATTTCAGAACATACTTTAACTATAAGAGAAGCTATATGTATACTCTTTTCAATAAATTCTTATAAAATGCAGTTCAAAACCTTTCAACACAGGCACCAAAGAATAATAACAAAAACAAGCTATTTCCTAAAATCCTGATTCAAAATCATACTTTTGCAAAACATTCTTTATTTTCCACTAAACTTAAATGTCATTCATAAACTGCATTCAATTGTATCATCCGGAATTGTTTCATCTGTGCTTTGAGGTACTTTATAATTTAATTTAATTTTTATCTAAAATTCCAGATTTGTTCTTTGACTCTAAATATTTCCATTTTGATATTAAATCTTCCCTCTGATCGGGCGGCTTAGCTCGCATTAAATCTGATTCCAGACGTTGGATAGCCCAGAAACTCTTAACAAGGATACGCGGTGGCTTTGATATTTTCTCTGGTACATTCATCCTTCGCTCGGGCACCACAGGTAATGGTCTTCGGGAACGCCTTTGATAGAGACCCCGAGTTGGAGACAAAAAGGCAGGTGCCATATATTGACACAGAAGCATCGCTGGGAGTGCAATCAAAATGTTTAAGTAAAATCTTTTGAAAGATTTCAAATTTATATTTTTTGTTTTGTTTATCAATTTGAATTTCAAATATATAACAATGCGGTTTCGATTTAAAGCAATGAGCCTGCCTTTCTAAATTTATTTTTCACATGAATTTATGTGTCTTTATAAATTTCATCATATTTTAAATGGAAATTTTATAATTCTTAGGATCAATATTATTACTTTCGTTATTATTTAATAACAAATAAATTAAAAAATTGAAGTTTTATAATATTTAGGATGATATATCAAGCTGAATATGATTATATTACTTATGTATATTATTAGTTAAATAATAATGAATATGATTAAATTACTTATGTATATTATTAGTTCAATATAAGAACAGTATGTCCTAATGTCTCCCAAACTGCATTGCCAGCTTCCAACTAAAATTTAAATACCCCTCCAAAATGTATAAAAAGAACAGGATTACTAATTTCTGACCACAAAACGAATTTACTTTTTGGATTTAGCCGAATGTTTACCATGTGGTTCCGATTAATGTTTTCCCAGACATTTTCGCTGCATATCTAAATAACTGGTTTTAAATTTCAGCTCACATTTAATACACAAATTAAATATGAAATATAAATAAATATCATTACTTCAACTTCCTTTAAAATGAATTAAAAGCGAAATAGTTTAGTGGAACATCTTGAATTTTCCTAAATATTTATATATATACATATATATATGGGTCGGCCATTTTGTATTTTCATTGCTGGGTTCTTTTGTGAACGACGACGATTTGGCGGCTTTTGTGCAACGCGTGGTTTTATGTAACAGGCCCCAGTCCCTAGTCCCCGAAAATCCACCAAAAACATCGCGCTGGACCCACCCATCCGCATCCGCAAAACGTCAATTGCATGAGCCGGGCACGTCGATATTTTTGCCAATTTTTTAGACGGCTTCTCGCAAATTGCTTTTTGAGCTTGTTAGAGTTTTTTGCCTCTCATCCTACGAGCACAGATACATACACACACACGCTAATGAATAGTCAAAGTCCTGTAGCTGCGGCAAAACGAGAACTAAACGCAATGTTTAGGCTGCATTACGACTGCAGCAGCTCTGCAGAAGCGGTCCTGTTGCAGGAGCAGCAGCAGGCTCTCTCGCCCGCCATTTTGTAATCAAATGCAGCACAAAAGTATGCAAAGGAAATTGCCAGGGTAAAAAAAGGAGCGGAAGGAATACAAAATGCTATAGGGATTGCCTTACTTCTTACAGTGAATAAACGAAAGGAGGTTCATGGAAGGAATTTTAACCAACTTTTAATATTTTAATACATAAGTGTTAATGGTCTCAATTTAAAATCATGTTAAAATAAGAATTCATAGAAATTTCATATAAATATTACCTGACTAAACCGTAATATTTTAATACATATTTGATTAATTTAAAATCCTTTTGTGTGCTTTAATTCTATTTAAAGAATTCATAATATTTCATGTACAATTTTATTATAGAAACCTGACTCACACTTAATATTTTAATACATAATTGATAATGATATTAAATCAATTCAAAACCCTATTATATCTGTTATTTAACTGTTTCGAATAACTGATCCATATTTTATAAAAAAGGTTCTTATAAAACCTTACTAACTCGAAATATTTTAATACATAATTGTGATAATGATAGTAAGTCACTTCAAAATCCTTTTACATGTGTTTCAATCCCCTAAAGATATTATTTGATATTATATATATTTATGATTTAACCCTATTTCCTGACAAATATTTTGAGAGCGATTTCTTTGAAATTTAAATATCTCAAACTAACAATAAATCGTTATATACCCAATTAATTCCAGGATTAACCAGAGCTCGTTTTCCCTAGTATTTCCTATTAATCAAAAGTTACTTCAGATTTTTACTGTAACTCCCCCACTATAACCCCAATCCCCTTTAGCAACGATTGCTGTTAGTGGCTGCTGCTTTTCAATTAGTGCCACCAGAGTGTACGACGACCTACCCCCTAACACACAACACCTCTTCCCCCTAATGCTGCATCCACCCCCAACCCCCAACCCACACACACACTCACAACACACCAATTTCAATGCGAAGCCGCCAATCCCAACAAACACTTGATGCCAACTGCAGTTGACGTTGGCCCGGTCCTGGCTCCTGGCCGCGTTTTTAACGGAAATTGAACAACAGGCGGCTTGCAAGGAAGACATGGCAGTACCCGAAACTGCAAAAACAAACAGAGGCCAATGCATTGCAACAACAGCGAAATGCAGGCGAGTTTAGCTAGACAGATATATATATATACATATATCTATAGACGTGGATATATCCGAGGGTGAAGCTGAAGCTGAAGTTGGAGCATTGAAAAAGTGCAACGCCAGGTAATACAAAAAAAACCAGGTCTCTTCTTTAGAAAAGCAAAAAAGAAAAATTCAAAGGGGTTTCAGGTTGAAGACTATTGAATACCCAGGCTTAAGTTCCTTAAAAGGATTTGGCATAACACAAATTTAAAATTATGTATTTTACAATCATTATTTATAGTTAACTTTATATTATTTTGTAAGATCTAGAAACTACAGAGAATATATAACAAACTCAATTATTTGGAACAAAAATATCTTTAAATTAAATAAATAATTAAGATATATATTTTTTAAAATTCTGATAAATTTTAAACCCATTTTGAACACATAGAATCAAAGATATTTATATATACATTGCATTCCATATACCCCTTAAAACCCCTCCGATATCCAGGTATAAAGATGCAGACACCAGACTACATACCTCTTTCCTCTAAACCCCAAACAGCGAGCTTCATCTGTTATGTGAAACGTTTAATTATTTATTTTGAAAGGCAAGGATGTACAAATAAAGCAGCTGAAAAGAAATTTTATTGACGAGACCGTGAAGGGGTTGGTGATTGGTGCCACCCCTCTGAGGTTAATTAGTTGACATTTGCGCTTAATTGCAATGCCTCAGCCTGGGGCATGCATAGAGCTCCATCGAGGCGTTTCAATACATTCGCATGATTGAAAGCCGAGTGGTGGTGGGTCACCTGGTTCACCTGCTAGCTCACCTGAAACGCGTTCAGGCAAAGCGACAAATCTGACACCCACTTTACAGGTGCCAAGTGGCTTGATATACTGATAGAAAGAGTAAAGGATTTGGCAGGCTGAAAGGATAACCTAACTCAACTCTGGGAAAATTCAAATAAATGTCAAATGCTGTTAAGGAAAAGAGAGGGAATTAAATATATAACTTACAAAGCAATAAAAATATCTATGAAACTGTTTATAATCCAAAGGAATTTATGTTTTATATTAGAAAAATATCTTCCTTGAAAGTAACTTCTCTTTAATTTCTTAAATTAAATGTATCGATTCAAGGACCTTCACTTATTCCTTTCATACTTCAGTTTATCTTTCAGTATAAAATGTATCATCACAATGCCTTGACTTGCTCTACTTCCTGATTTATTATTTAAGATTATCCTTGAAACACCACCGAATTTATACGTAAATCAAATAAGTTTTTTTTCATTGTTTCCCAGAAACTTTCTTAGCTCAATAAATAAATACATAAATCAGAGTAGTTTCCGGGCTTATATTCGGCCAGGACAATAGGCCACCTCGGGGCTCTTGGATCGTATCCATTTGATGAACGAGGCAACTCGCGTATTGACCGACGGCAGCTGGGTGGCACAGGCTTGGCCAAAGCTAACGATGCCCACGGCCACCAGGCGTCCATTAATCCTCTCATAGAGAGCTCCTCCAGAATCATACTGGCACGTGTCCCTCCCGGGTGTATATGTGCAGAAGGTATGGGGTGGCAGCGATACTCCGGAGGAACTGGTGGCCAGAGTTTGCCGGCACTGCTGACCATCGATCACATCCAGGGTGGTTTTCAGCAGGCGTGTGGTCTGTGGACCACCGTAGGAAGTGGTGCCCCAACCGGCGGCCACCACTTGATGTCCCGCCAGTGGCAACTTTTGGCCAGCTTCTGCAGGTTGTAGAGGCAGACAAGCAGGACCCACATGGCGGCTCCAGACGATGGGAGATCGTGTCCTTAGCAAGGCAATATCATTCCTGGGCTGCCCATTCGCCTGGCTAAACTGTTCATGGAGGATCAAAGCATCCAGATCGTATCTCCTGGTGGCAAATGTTTCAAAGGAGCTGGCCAGATCGTGCTCTCCAACTACAACCCGGAGTTGAGCTGCATTTCTGGTCTCAGGACCCAGGAAACAATGGGCAGCCGACAGCAAATAGTGATGGTGAACTTGGTTTAAGATATGGAGAAAGGTAAAAAAGGTATACATATATCTCCACTTAATATACTTACTAATTGCTGCTCCGCAAAAGACCTTTCCCTGCTTCTTGGTCAAAACGCCAGCCATCGAGGGAAACTCATGCAATGCCGCCTCCTCATTGTTGGGACTTGCTATCCTTTGCAAAGGATACCGACTCCAGCCGCAGCTGCACGTGGGCTGTATGGCCTCCACCAGGCAGGTAAAGCGTCCGCCTCCTGGAGCAGGAGTCAAGGGATAGTTCGACACAATCCGGACACGTTTTGCGGAAGTCTTTGAACTGCGTTGACTTGGCAGGTGTTGCTCAAGGTAAATGGCAGAGCTGGACTTCCTGGACTCATCATCGTCATCGTAGAGCAAGGAGGCCACATAGGCCAAGGCATCGCTGACGCCCACATCCTGCAACACGTGCAGCACCTCGTCGCTAAGGTCCTCTGACTCCTCGTTATCCTCCTGCTCCTGCTCCTGCTCTTGTTCCTGCTCCTCTTCCTCTTCGTCTTGCTCCTCTATGGAAACACCTTGTGGCGTCTCAGTAGTTGAGTTCCCAGTTGTCGATACCCCCGAGAGCTTATCCTTCAGCTTGATGGTCGATGTGGTGGCTGGTGGTGGTGGCTCTGGTTGGCCGTTGGAAATGTAGGAAATCACAGCACGATTGAGAAAACTTTTGCGCTCAAATTTTCCGCTGCCGCAAAAGTATTCGGAACTTGTTAACACCTCGTCGCCTTCGGAATTGAAGTGAAACACCTCCGAGCGGCATTTTAGGTCCGTGGAAAGCTGCGAAATGAACAAGCCAATGGAAAATGCCTTTCAGGGAAAATCTTCTTACACAGTGATGACACTTTGATATATTTTGTAAATACTAATACAGCCTTTTGAAATGTTTTTAAATACTATAAAGTGTTTAGGGTTTATCACAAAAATCAGTGGAAATTTTTTTATAAACTTCACTTCAATATTAAATATATATTAAAACATCTATCAAAATAAAATGTCTGGTTTTTAATTATTTTTATATCAATAAACCATAAATCAACTGTTTCATTTAAATAAACACACTTAAGCTTCACAGTTTTTTACATTTTCAACAGAAACTAATTTAACTAAGTTAAGAAAAATGGGAACTCTGTTATACCTGCTTAACTAAACAAACCTCGTTTAAAATATATATTGATTAATCTTGATAAATCAATTTTTAAATACCCTATCATAATCCCTCAAAATGTCATCACTGTTTTCCACTTTCTCCTCACCGTTTGCAACTGAAGTTCACACTTAAAATGCAGCACCTGATCCTTGGGCGCCTCCACCGCGTAGCGACAGGATGTGCCGACAGGATACAAGGCCGGGTAATAGGGCGAGTTAATAAGCAGCTTCTGACCCGACTGAAGCTTCACCTGATGATTACACTGTTCAAAAAGTGCCTGAGATGGTTTGAGAAACACTTGAAGGAAGAACAGCACCAGCAGCAGTGGTGGCCACATAACGATCACGATCTCGACGAGGTCTAAGGCGGAACTGAACTCGCTCCACGGCTGACAGCCCCTTAAGAATGGTGCAGCTGACATGAGAGGCCATCACGCGATCTGCCTACAATCGGTGGCTCTCAACACCTCAACAACGCCTTCTTAAATACCAGTTAATTAGGGTCTCGAAGAAATCCCAAAATTGTTGAAAGCAAAAACAAATTTAAATCAGCCGGCACACGAGCTTCTCTTTTCTATTTGGCGGCTAATTGAAAGAAAGTGCAAGTGTGTCAATCAAAAAAACTGGTTTCGGAAATGTGGAACACTTGGAACTAGTTAGGTGGGTGGAAAAGGCCATAAAGATAGGTTTAAGAGCTACTTGTTGGGGTAGGTCTTAAGATGATCAGTTGATTATATAATAAGGGGGGTTTTAGGGGGAGCTAAAATATGTATAATTAAGTGTGAAATTCTATAGGTATTTAAGATATAAGAAGTCTTAATATTTAGTCATAATTCTGGGAATAAATAAACATAAAATGATATTACTTAAAGTTATTTGAGATTTTAAAAGTTAATAAGGACGAAGTAATCTCAAACTTAACTCAACATTCGTGGAATAATTTAGGTATACTTTAGATTTCATATTAAAATCAGAAATAACAACCATTGTAAACTTAAATTTATAATTATTCCTTACAGATAAATATATTTTTCGCCCTAAAACTCTATCTAGTGATGATATATCTACCCAAATCCTATAATTTTGTAATATAAACTCCAAGTAAATATATCTATAACACCTCCCTATAATTGCTTTATTTTCTATTCCCTTTTTTATGGCACCTATAAACCTTTCATGGAGTCATTAATTCCAATTCCCTGAGATCTCTTTAAAGCCAACAATTTCGCACCAGTCGAGCCGCCGAACCACACACAACACACACACACACCCCCACCGAAAAGCTCATTTTTTAGACCACTTGCCAGAGCTGCTTAATTGGATGTGCTCCATATGAGTAAAAACGGGGAAAGCATACACACACAAACTACTACAGAGGTCCAGGATTCAGGATTCAGGATCCAGGATAAGCGAAAATAGAAGACGAACCATGAAAAAAAAACACAAAAATGGAAGCCGAAACCTGGCAAGTTTGTCGCCCATTTTGTAAAATAAATATCAGAAAAAAGAAATGGAGGGAACTTTGGGGATGGCGCCGCCGTGTCTGTCAGAGGCGCAGAGACAAACGCTTAATGCTAATATTATTTTCTTGCTTAACAAGCGATGGTTTTTGTCCTAAGGGGTACATTAGCTGGATAGAAATGTATAATAAAATAATACAAAAATGTACTTCAATTAATGTATTACATGTATATTTTGGCTGGAAAGTAATATAATGCTGGATGAGAGATTTCAAATGCCTTGAAATTCTTAAGGACTCATGAACTCATGGTCAATAGACTTGCTGTTTATCGATTTAACCAATTTGAATAGAGATAACAATGTCATAACAAAGGCCTTCTAATAATAAGATGAGTAACACCCTACAAACTTTTTCTTTAATTTAATATAAGATTTTAGAAAAGAGTAAATATCTTTTATTTAAAAAAATTATCTTTCCTTTGACAATTTAAATGTATGGCGTTATGCATCTAATTATTATAAGATCTTTGTTTATAAATACATAAAATTATGTAGTAAAAAGGCTTCACAACATAAGGATTTAATAAAAAGGCTTTACAATCGAATTTTTTTAAATCGAAGTAAATCTCCCCTCTAATAATAAATTAACAAGAAAGTAAGTAATATTATATTATTTCCTTGCTTATTTATAATATTATTATAAATTACAAGATATATAAATTATGTAATATAATGTCCAAAGGAAATATAATGTCCAAGGAAATCCTTACCAAATCCCTGAGAACTTTCCCTTAGCCGGGCAGGGCATCCAACCGATTGAAGCTACCGCCGGACAAAATTCTCCGCCGGACAGGACAGGACAGGACTCTGTGACTTATTTGCACAAGCCATAAAAAATTTAACTTTATTTCGCCATTTTTAATTTCCTACTCCGCGGATCGCGACGTGGCGCAGAGCATTCGGCGTAAACAGTCCACGTTGGACAATAACTACAAAAACTGGACCCAGACCAGGGTCCTAGACGTGTGTATCCTTCCCAGCTCCCAAGTTCACAGAACAATGCTGGTGGCAAAAAAATACAGAAAAACTGATGCTGTTTTCTATTTTCTCTGCTTTTTTTTACCTCCGTACACCCCTTCGTTTTTCCGGGGGAAAACAAACAGCAAATAATTCAAAGTGGATACAACTAAAGCAAAGTCAAAGCTAATATACGAAAATGTAATAAAAATTAAAAAGAAATAAAAACGAATTAAAATGAATTTCGAAGGAGCACACCAAAGACCTTCTGGCACAACATAAAAAATATATAAAATAGCATTGATGGCGAGAGGGAGAGGGGGATCGAGGTGAGAGTCCTAGCGGTTTCACCGCAAAAAGCGACAGTTGCAGGACTTCTTTTTGCGCAGCAGGATGATGACACATGTGAAAGGGTCGCTGGGTGAGCAAAATATGCGTCCGTTTGGAGTCAGAAATTTATAGAAGCCCTAACAAAGTGTATAAAGGTAAGGGTTTTATGGAAAAAATTATTGTTAATTTGTTTAATTATATTTAAAAACAGTAAAATTCAATTTTACTTGATTATTTACAAAGAAAATCATATTCAAAGTTTTAGCTGGAACTTAAGTTAGTTTCCAGATATAATTTCCTGTAAGTATTATAATCCGAGCTAATAACTTAATTAACGAAATTAAGCTTTATTATTTCTTCAACTAAAAAATAAATTAAATAATAAAAAAAAAAATTATTTATTTACTTTTATATTACACTCATATTAATATAGCAGATAATCTTCTGGAGAGTAGGAAAATTGACACCAAAATTCTGTTTATCTTTTGTATATATATTATTCCAATATAATTATTAGAACTTATGAATTTTAAGCCTTTAATCTGTACAATATAAATTTATTTTTATATATTTTAAGCGGCAGGTAGGAAAGCAGTGCTCTGGTATAACAAAATTGTTAAGTTGTTTACTGCTTTGTGAACTGCTTTATTCCTCAGCCTGTTATAACTTGAACCGCAAATCAAGTGCTGCCACCTAGCTCTGCTCTGCAGAATTCTGCATTTCGGGCTTTTAAACCTAGATGGCGCCACGAGACGTTAACAACATAATTATTACAAAAATATATATTAAACGGTGTTAAAATATATAACCATTAAAAGTATAATAATAGTATCCTTGCAGTGTACTTTTATTTTAGCCTAAAGCTTGCTAGGCTGTGAATAAGTCATTTGCGACCATATAAATTGTATATATTATTGATCAGCATCAACAGGAGAATAAAACAGGAGATTTTTTCAAATTGCTTTAAAATTGTCAACAATTAAAAATAATATTAATATTTTAAATTTTAAAAGTGTTTTATGCAGAATTGAAATTAAAACATTTTACTTTAGAAGTTTAAAAAGCTTGAATAATTACAAAAAAATTTATACAATACACAATTTAAAATAATTTTATATATGAATATTTGAATACGATGCTAATATGATTTTTTAGTTCACAACAATAAATTGGTTTACGAATTTCTTACAGAAAGTTTATGGTTTATGTGTTTTTAGATGTATATGTGGGTCATAAATATGGTAATATGTAATAATTTTGTAAACACAAAATATTAAAAATATAAATTATTTGACGCAAATTTAATAATAATATAAACAAAAAAATACTAGAGAATTTTAATGTTCGTTATTCTATTTAAAGTTTAAATTTTTATCAAAGTCTTAATTGTCTTAAATTTGTTAAAAAGAGAATAATAATAATAATTATAATGATTATAATTAAAAAATAGGGATAATAATCCTTCCCACAGACATAGATAGTCTCAAAGAAATGATGTATGGTACCAGCATATTAATATCCTTTTCTTTCTCCTTTAATGATTACCTGACAGGGCATTCCAGCCTTCTTCCTCTCCTCTGCCCAAAGGTCCTGCTTGACCAGCACAATTAATTGACAATAGATTGTTTTGACCCACAGGAAGTTCCCTGGGAATGGGAAACCGAGGACGAACGAAGGAGGTGCAGGCATCCTTTCTTCCGGAAGGAAGCCAAGCGCAACAGTTGCATGAAGTGCGGGCACTTCAAATTAATAAAAAGGAACTGCGAATAACAATGGGAAATAAAAGGAAATAGGGACCAAGGAATGGTCAGTGAATGGAACATCCTGCGGAGACAGCAAGTGCACCCAAAGTCCTGTCTGGCTACGTGGGGTCCCTGGGTCCTTTCCCACAGGTGTTTTCCAAACCGAGATTTTTCCAAAAGTTTCCACTGACCACTGCGAGAGAGTCTCGGCTTTGATCGTGGCCGCTCTCGGTGCAAATCTAATTAACGCTCCCCGAAGGATAACGATCGATCAAGGATCCTGGGCTGTGTTTGCTTGCATTGCGATTCGATGCGCCAACACAAAAGGACTCTCTGACTACCTGCGAGTCCTTGAGAAACGCTTGCCATAAGTGTGCGCGTATCAAATTACCATTTCATTTTCATTCCATTAGTTCTTGTCTCGTCTGGTTTATTTTTTCATTATCCTTTTCCCAGAGTCCTTTGCTTAATTGCTCAACTAATGTGTCTACGGGAATGCAAATGTAATTCGACCAGAACTTCTCTGATTTATGGGACAGCGAACATGCTCCAGTCTCAACCAAATGGATTCCAGATTCTGGCCACCCACTCGAGATGCCATCCATCGAACATAATCCTGACTGATCCCTGGGCTAAATACCTGTTAACCTGTTGGGAAACGAAGATGCCTGAACAAAGGCTGAATATCTTTGTGCTGCCACAACAAACCAGATTTTTCTCAGCACCTCCTTCGGCCGGCGATCTTATCGATGCGAGGGTGGGCCCTCATCAAAATTGGTTCCCACAGACCGAGTTCCTTGGCCCATATTTTGCAATTTAGATTTCTATTTATTGTCTGTATCCTTTCTGTTTTCTGTGCTCCCTTTTTGTAT